AAAATAAATAAATAAAAAAATAAATAAATTTCTGTTTTTAAAAAATCACCAAGTTTAAAGCCAGTTGCAGTCATGCATGCCTGTAATCTCAACTACCCAGGAGGCTGAGGCAGGAGGACTGAGAGTTCAAGGCCAGCCTGGGGAGTACAGTGAGACTCTACTTGGCAGGGACAGTAGTAAGTCACCAAACTTGAGGTAACTTGTCATAGTTGCTGCAGGAAATTTATGTATTCCCTTACCACTCTTGTTTATTCTACTATAGCCACAATGCCCAGTCTCCTATCCCTTCTACTTCAGTGGGCCTTTGCAGTGTTAATGCCTTCTACCTGAAATCTTCCCTGATAATCCAATACCAAACAGCATTCTTTCATGATACTCATTCTTGATTTTGCTATTCTGACTTGTCTGTCTTTATAACTCTCATAATTATTTGAGATATCTGATTTTTATTAGTGCATGTCTGCAGTACATAATGATTATATTCATCAGGGGAGTTGGTGCTTGTACCTATCTTAATTCTTACCTCCTCTTCTCTTTCCTCTCCCTCACCTTTTAGGCCCCCTCCCATTTACAAAGGATCTTGGGTTGTTTTCCTTGCCTGTCTTCTCCCCATCATACCAGGTACTCTGTCTTGTTCACTGCTACATTCTCAACACTTAGAGCTACACTTGCTACACAAGAGATGCTCATAAATATTTGAATGAAAACTATTTTTGTGAATCCAGGCATAAATCACCAGGTTTCCATAAGAAGTATGACTGCTGAACAGTCAGACTTCTGTTAAGGTCAATATCATTAATAATGGCTCTGAGAAATGCAAGTGGACTTTTGTCTGCATAGGACAGTTGCTCAGAAATCTCAGGCAGAATGGGCGTTAAAGGGAGTGCTGACTTAGATGCTAATTCCTACGAAGACACTATTTAGAGCACAGAGAGTTTATCCTAAAAATATAATTAAGACTTCAAATTTATAAATTTAGCATCTTCAAAAACATCATATAAATATAAATAGATTTGCAGTAACTCTTTAGTGGCAGAATAAAATTAACAAGTTTAGGCCCTAACTTTATCTTTTGAAAACCACTAGTATCAGTGAACAAAAGAGAAAAAATGAGAAGAAAATAGGTTAAATTAATCAGTAGGCATAGCTTCAACTTAAGATGCACCTTTACAACTCAATATTCTTATCCCTTGTCTTCATATGTAATCTAGTAGGCCAGCACATATTAACACTTTTTCAAAACGACACAGAGTTCTTCCTCTTCCAGGAGGGCATCTTATCTGTTTCTGGCATTTAATCATGAGAAACCTTCAGACTACCAGGCCAGACCTGTCAAACCACACTTCCCTGAGCCTTAATTATCTCTCGAGGTGTCTCAGGACACAGAGTGACAAGCTTCCCATATCTGCTTCAAATCACATTTTCCCTACTTCATAAACCAGAGTAAAATGCTGTATGAAAAGGAAAAAAGTCCACCTCGAAAATGAAAGAAAATTACCAATCTGGCTAGTAGAGGTTTTGTCACTGTCTCAGTGCCTGACAATCAATAGGGGAGAGCCTGCCAGATGCTACATAATATCCATTTGCTTCTTCCTTATTTACAGATTTGCAGCTTTGGGGGGGGCAATGCATGAGCTGAAAGACTACTGATCTGGCTCTCTTCTAGTAGGAGACATCAAATGACTAGCTTTTGTATGACTGCAATGAAGGGTTACTTCGAGAGAACAGGCTCAGATTAGGATACCATTATTACTTTTTCTCCCCTTACTCTTCCCACGTCTGGTATGCAAATGTAATGGCTGACACTCCCACAGCCATTTTGGGCTGTAAGATGATGGGGAGAAGGGAAACCATCTATTCCTCAGCAAAAGATAGAAAGGCATCTACGTGTTTGACAACAGCTCACCACTACCACCAGATTTCCTGTATCAATGATTTCTTAGATGATAAAATAATTCCTGAGCCACTGGAGTCATTACTATTCATAGTCTAACCAAACTCCACCTGATAAGCTCATTGTGCCACCATAACTTATTTCACTAATATTCAGAATTCCTTCATCTCTTACTCTTCTTTCTGTATTCTATGTTTCCATAACATTGCCATCCAACAGAACCTTTAGCAATAAAAGAAACAAATTCATATTTGTACTATCTGATAGGCTTGCCACTAACAACTTGTGGTTACTGAGTATCTATGCTAAATAGGAATGAAGAACTCAACTTTAAATTGTACTTAATTTAAACATAAAAGCATATGGTGTCACACCGTTTTCAAGAATTTCTACTATTTTTATTCTATTTCTACTATTCTTTATTCTACTAATCTATTATTCAAGAATTTCCACTGTTCTCTTTGTCTTTTTTTTTTTTTTTTTTT